GCCCAGGTACGGGAAGTTCTCCACCACTTGCAGGTGGGTCCCATTCACGCTGATTTGCGGCGGCGCGTTGGGGGCTGTGGCCGAGTTGGGTGGCGGTTGGTGCATCACCACCGTCTTCTGTGTGTTGATGACCAGACCGAAATTCTCGCAGGCGGCGGAGAACAGGTCCATGCTCCGTTGCATCTCCGCTTCGGAGGTGGTGTTCAGGGCGCAGTCGTCGACGAAGAGGAGTTCGTGCACGGTGGTTGTGGATACGCGCGATTTGAAGTGCATCCGCCGTTGATTCAGGAGGTGACCGTCCGTCCGGTAGGCGATGCGGATCCCGGGGCGTTCGTCGCGGTAGGCGTCCATCAGCATGGCAGAGAACATAAGACTGAAGCGGGTAGGCGCCAGTACACAGCCCTGCTTCACTCCATTGGTCACTGCGAATGCCTCTGAGACAGCTCCGTTGTCCGTGACTTGCGCCATCATACCGTCGTGCAGCTGACGCACCATCTGAGTGAATCGCTCTGGACAGCCGAATTTCTGCATGATCTTCCACAGTCCTTCACGATTCACCGTGTCGAAGGCTTTCGTCAGGTCCACGAAGGTAGAGTACAGGTGGGTCCGCATCTCCTGACACTTCTCCTGAAGTTGACGGGCGGCGAAGATCATATCCGTGGTCCCACGATGACAACGGAAGCCGCATTGGCTTTCCGGCAGAAGGCCTTGTTCCAGATGGTTATTGAGGCGGTTGAGGAGGATCCCTGCGAAGATCTTCCCGGCGGTGCGAAGATCTTCCCGGCGATGTTCAGCAGGGAGATGCCGCGGTGATTGTCGCAGACTTGGCGATTCCCTTTGCGCTTGTAGAGATGCACGATGGTTGCGTCTTTGAAATCTTGCGGGACTTCACCTTGACGCCACATCTCTTGGAAGAGCGCAGTCAGGTTATCCATTAGTTGGGGGCCTCCGTGCTTGTAGACCTCAGCAGGGATCGCGTTCGATCCGGGTGCTTTCCCGCTGGAGAGCTGCTGCACGGCCCTGACGGTCTCCTGGAGAGATGGCGGGAGGTCGAGGTCCACGTTGGTCTCCACTTGCGGCAAGCGCTCGATGGCAGCGTCGGAGATGACGGAGGGGCGGTTAAGGACGCCTCGAAAATGCTCGGCCCATCGCTGCAGGATTTGCGTCTTCTCAGTCAGGAGGGTGTTGCCGTCGGCGCTGAGGAGAGGAGCAGTGCCCTTCATCGGCGGACCGCAGACAGCTTTGATCGCAGAGAAGAAGTTCTTCCATTCGTTGCGGTCCGCGTACCCTTGGATCTCCTCAGCTTTGCGAGCAGTCCAGGCGTCCTGCATCTCGCGCAGTCGTTGTTGAAGTTGGCGGCGACTGCGGTAGAAGGCAGCTTTGGTGGCATCAGTGGGGTGATCTACGTAGGCTTTGTGTAGGCGGTTCTTCTCAGCTAGCAGATTTCTGATGGCAGCGTCGTTGTCGTCGAACCAGTCCTGGTGTTGGCGGGGAGCGAGACCGAGGACGGCGAGCGCCGTCGACTGGACCGTGTCTCGCAGTTGACACCAGGGGTTCTCCACGGAGGCGTTCTCGGCAGCGGCGGCGTCGTCGGCGGCAGCGATAGGAAGGTTGTCTAGCCGTTGAGCTAGCTCATTGCTGAAATGGAGATGGTGAGCGGGCAAAGACAACAAGGCAACATTCAGCTTACCTGGGGGTCGCTTACCTTGTGGTCTCCCGCGAGGCTGTAGGCGAATAAGCATCTTCGAGATGACGAGGCGATGGTCGTTCCACCCGTCAGCACCCGCGATCGCCTTGGTCACCAGCACGTCCCGCTGATCTCGCCTCCGGACGAGGACATAGTCCAGCAGGTGCCACTGGCGCGACCGAGGATGCCTCCAGGTGGCCTTCGCTCGCTCCGGCAGACAGAAGAACGTGTTCGTCAGGATGAGGCGGTGTTCTGCGCAGGTGCGGAGAAGCAGCAGACCATTGTCGTTTGAGCCGCGGAGACCGTGGGGACCCAGCACTCCTCTCCAGGCAGTATGGTCTGTGCCGACGCGGGCGTTGAAGTGGCCAAGGACAATCAACTTGTCCGCCTTCGACACAGTCGCCAAGAGGGCGTGCAGGTCCTCGAAGAATTTGTCTCTAACGGCGTCGGGGTTGGTCATCGTCGGAGCGTAGGCGCTGATGATGGTGGCGAATTTGCCTCCCCAGAGAGGCAGGTGGAGGCTCATCAGGCGATCTTTGATGCCCTGCGGCAAACAGGGCAGTCGTCCCACGATGTCGTTCCGAATGGCGAAGGCGACGCCCGCGTCCCGTCGCTCTGCCCTGGGTCGACCGCTCCAGAAGAAGGTGTAGCCGGCACCTATCTCCTCCAGTTGGCCTTGTTTGGAGAAACGGGTCTCGCTGAGTGCGGCGATGTCCACCTTGTAGCGCGCCAGTTCTCGTGCCACTAGCGCCGTCCTCCGCTCCGGTCGGTTGCTCCTCGGATTGTCTAAAAGGGAAGGAACATTCCAGGCTGCAAGAGTGAGCGCGCTCACCCTGCCAGTCTGGTGACAACTAGTGGGGCGACGGGAAGGAGGTGCAGAAGAAGATGACGAAGGAGAAGAATAGGCGAAGAATGGGCAGAGGAAGAGGAAGAAGAGGTAGGATGAGGAGAATGAGTATGGTTGTTGTTGTTGTTATTGGTATTGTTGTTGTTTCGATTTTGATTGTTTCGACCATGTTTAGACGTCTGCGGCCCTGGCTAGCCTGGAGACGGCGTGGTACCCAGCAATGTTTAGGCCGCCTTTTCTAGTCCCTTCCCCTCGTGGGGGCTGGCAGTGCCGTCCCTGAATAGGGCTACCATGTGCCGTTGTGGCACGGCCGAACTCCACTATGGGACCACGACTTCGGGTTGTAGTGGAGAGCGACTCGAATTCGCCGTAAGCCGGGGTCTCCGTCGGCCTAGGTGGGCGCGTCAAGGCGATGTCGATGTGGAGATCAATCCCGTTACCGGCTGTCGAGCGACGTGCAGAGACGAACCACGTCACGACGGTGCCGACGCAAGGTTCCATCCGACCTTCCATCCAGCGGAGTCCGCAAACCCTGTGCACACGGCACAGCGCACAGGGCCCCCTCACCTGGTTTAGCCCGCCGGTCGAGACGGTTGCCCGGGGTGTGGCCGCTGAGCAGAGCTACGTGGAGCCACAGGTGAGAGTTGAGTGCCAGCAAGTGGACGCTAGGCTCAGTCTCACCTGCAAGCAAGTGAGCGACCACCACGACCATTACGTGAACTCACCGCTGACACCCCTACACCCCAAGTGTTTCTGAATACAGCCGTATTATCTGAGGTAAAATTTCGCATATGGGCGAGTTAAACGCTCGAACTAACTGCCTTATGAAGGAAAGTTTTTCTTGGTCTATGGGCGTATGTTCATTTACTTTGCAAAGGTCACCGCGCATGCGACCTTTGTTGTCAATTCGGTGAAGTCTTCAAGCCTAAGAATGCAATCATGTCCGTGGATAACGCGTAATATCCAATAACAAGTCGCGTCTTCCCGAACTTCTGCCGCCGTGAGGAGGAATACCATAACTTGGCCTTTTGCCAACAAGGTCCCATGAAAATTTATCCGTTATTGTTTTCAACGTGGTGTGTTAGAATGTTTGGTTAATCGGTCACAATGTTTCCTCATGGATTCTAACCGAGGCAGCTGATCGATTATTGCGGTTTAATTCGAGAAAAACAGAATAGGAGAATTAGAATAAAAAGCATTCCGAAGGAAGGGAATGTAGATAGGAATAGGATTTTACTGGTACCAAAGTCTTAACAGAAGGGAACATAACCATGTACTAAAGTCATTTAGAGCACTGAAACACCAAGCGCTTGAATGATCGAACTTGAGAGTTTACATTCAATAATGCGTCAGGGAAGATTCTCGTGTAATAAAAATAAATTTCGTGTTGGTCAACGGCATTTGCTGCCACTGTTTTGTATCCCTCTGCTTTGTTAATTGTCCAGCCCAGGACTAACTGAGTCATAAGTAGCATTAAGCCACTTCTGCGAATTAGGCAAGAAAAAGGTTGAAGATGAAACAAAATTAAGAGGCTCAGTAAAAAGTTGACAAAGCCTTTTACTAACGTAATGTCCATACATATGTCTCATAAGACGCTTACGATATGTGACACAGTTTTTAAGACAACGAGATGAATTAAGCAGAGGAGGTATAGATCTGTTTAATTGTCAACTTCAGTTTGACTAAAGTATCCTCATGCATAAAGTCTGTTGATTGTTCTGAAATTCCTTTTCGTGTAAAGAATGCCGAAATGTAATCTGTTATTTCGATTTTTGCAGATACATCGCAAAGCACTACTCCAAAATCCGTTGCTTCCGCAGATAAGGTTGCTTTCCTTTGACAGCTACTCGCGTACAGAAAGCGGTCCCGTGAGGAAAAAAAATTGATAATGACGCTGTTTATTTCTTAATATTAAGTCTCATTCAAGCAGATTATTGCATAAAATCATAAAATATATTTGCTGCTTTGAATACTGAGAGCCTTCAAAGAAACTTACGCAACCTAGTCAAGTACTGCAGCTATTGGTTAGATCAACGAGCCCAGTATTCACAAGCTCATGTGCTTGAAGTTATTCAGGTCGAAATCTCGTAAAGGTGGGAAGTTTGAAGGCAAGGACCCAACCGTAAGGTCTCCTCCGCCGCAGCCAAAAAGCAGTCCCCCTCCAAAAGAAACTATGAGCAAGTCTTCAAAGACCAAAAAATTCGTAATTAACTCCAAAATTTTCTAATTTACTAGGTCAAACCGCCAGGAGTGACAGACGAACAGATAGAAGAGTATAAGGAGTCGTTCAACCTTTTCGACAAAAATGGAGATGGACGAATATCAAAGACAGAACTTATGTCTGTGATGAAATCTTTAGGGCAAAAACCAACACAGGCAGAAATTGACCAAATGATAAGAGAAGTGGACACAAACTGTACGTTAATTTAATCGTTTAATTGGCGAATATAAAAGCCGATGGGCAGATCGACTTCTCCGAATTTGTCTCAATGATGAGCAAGCAGAAGCCCTCTTCAAGTGAAGACAGAATGAGAGAAGCTTTTAATGTCTTCGATCAGGACAGAAACGGCTTTATAACGGTTGAAGAAATGAGGTATTATTTGTCATCGTTATTTATCTTATTTTTTCCCTGTGTATGCATTAAAAGAAGTTCATCGCTTTGCTTGCATTTTGCTGGTTAGGGCGTTAGTTTCGCATGCAAGTGTGGCACTTTTAGACGTCATGGAAACTACATTAACGCAACATTGTTTTGTCATATAGTACGTTACTACATTTTCTCCTATTCATAAGATATACGCTAGATAGAAGCCAAACTACACTTACGTAATAGCTCCTGCCAGGGTAGTTAAAAGCTATTTATTTTTCATGTCCTGTTTGAGAGTCTTATATTAGGCCCACAACACTGAATTTACTAATTGCGTCCATGCCGGTCGGGATTAAAAACCAGCAAAAAAAGAAAAGAAGTCTATCTAAATACCACGACCTGTCGTACGGTAAATAAGAATAATCATATTTTCCGCTCAGAAAGGTCATGAAAACTCTTGGACAAGAGCTGACGGAGGATGAAATCAAACTCATGATCAGAGAGGCTGACAAAGACGGTGACGGTCAAGTCAACTTCGAAGGTCAGTTAATTTGATGTATGCGTCTTTTGTCAGCACGTTTTTTGTGTAACCCATATCGACTGATAAGTTGTTTGTACAAGTTCCTCAACAATATGTTTCCACTCCTAAATAATGCAGTATTGTGGCATTTTTAGAAGTCTTATTTACTTAGTGCTTGTGAAGTCTATTTTATATCCAGTCGGTGGAGTTGAGACTATTATATAACAGCACCCAGGAATTCGTAATTTTACTGTCTTTGCATCACGGGGACTTCAGATCATATGGGTGGTGGTGTTGGCAATGAGCGCTTATCTTCTGTTTAAATAAGAATGAGGTGCTGAACTGCGCGTCTTTCTTACAGTCGGCCAAGTGCTGGGCTGCTATAGCAGCAGATATACCTATAGGGTGGCTATAGCCACCTAGATAACCAAAGTTACCGGCCGTCCACCGGCTATCCGAACACATGTAGAACGCGAACGAAGAGTTGATAGCCCTTCTTTGCCGACCCGTGGTTGAAGGATTTAAAGGGCTAGTGTGAAGTAGGACGTGGGAAAAGAAAACATAAATTTGACATGCAAAGACTGTGGTCTTACACAGACCCAATAAAATAACAAGGATTTTTAGTATTTAGTTTCGTGAGTATACAAAAGAATGGTAGGTACGCGACGCAATTAGCTAACACACTTTTTATCTTAAGTGTAAATCGCAAAACAGCCGCACCGTCATTCAGAAACGATCCGCATTGGAGTCATTTAATCGCCTTCGATTCCCTGCTAGGATCTGGGTCACAAAGTGCCCCAGTTTTCTGAGTCCCTTTGCAGACGAAATGAGTTTACGTTGAGTAAAGAAACAAACTTGCTTCGTTATGATCTCAATGCTTAATTTGTGTTTCTTTGCAGGGAGTGTTTTTAACAATATTTGATTTGATCTAAAAGTTCGGGCTTTTTCTCCAAACTCGGTTTTATTTTTTGTCCTTTGGAAATGGTGTTTCCCTCATCAGAAATAGTTGTCAGCGTGTTAGTTATGACGTACCGTGAAGAACTGTGGTCATCGTGATATTGTTCGGGAAAATGCCAAAGAAACATTCTCTAAAATTACATAAAATTAGAATATGGGTCCTAATTTACTCACCAAGTTAGAGAACTGTAGCATTCTCAAGGTGAACCCCTCAAAAGTCAGAGGACCTACGCCAAGAATTTTCTTTTACTGTAGCCTTCGTACAGGTTAGTTGATATTTGCTTCGTACCATCTATCTTTTAATTTACTTGACTACTTAGAAAACAGTCGATGCGATTCATCCAGCCTGTCTTGGATTTGTCAGTACTCGGATACCATCTGTCTTATTCTGGTTGGCCGATAATAATTGTAGTTGTTGCTTGCCGCCCTCACTTTGCTGACGGTATCGTAAGAGTGTCGGCCCTATTGAACTATCATAGACTGCTACTTTTCCCACCCTCTGCCTCCGGCCCGCTTGAAGTGCTGCCTCTTTCTGTGTGTAAGATCTGCGCTTACAGAATTAGCCGATCGGGTCGGTTGCGATTTGATGCAGTTCCTCTTAAAGATTTTCTCTTCCTTCTATGCATCATGCTGAGGAAATCTCCTTTTAATTTAAACTCCCACCCCTATTGACAGAAATGACTGAGACGGATACATAACACCGCCGAACGATGGCCGCAGTCATAAAATGGAATTTATTTAATTACAAACCATAAGGCGATGTCTTCGGTCTTTGGAACGATAAATTAACACTTTTGGAGACTGCTTCAACTTAGTCTGAATGTCGTTGGTGCGTCCACTCTACACGTTTATATCCTTAGAATTCAGTACTATCGTCTGTTGCATAAGTATCAAAAGACATTTCACGAGGAGAATAGTTTGGATGTTGTTTGCCGAGAAGAATTCACTAAGTCTAGGATAAATATTAGTGGATTATGGTGAAGTAGGGGCGGGACGTCGCGCATATCTATTCAATTCGTCATAATAAGGAACCGTACACACTACTGCCAGTATGGGTAGGACGCGCATGATATGGGTTGTGGTTAATCATTTCGCTCAGCCACTGCAGTCTCGAACACCCGGACGTATTGATTTTTATCATTGTATGCATTTTTCCTCACCCTTATCCGTGTCTTGAGCTTCACATCACTGCAGTATCCCAACCGGAGAGCATAAAATTGAAAAAAAAACATTTTTAATATTTATGTAAGTTGAAGTAATGAAATTGACTGTGAATTCAACCTGGGTGAGCTTAAAATTATGTAAACCTAATGCCGTTATAAAGATTGGTCGAGTTAGGTGTACGGTATTCACGTTTAATTGACCTCTCCTGGCCTGCGAACCCCCCAATGGGGCGTTTTGGGTCAAACGTGACATATCTTGAGGGCAAGACCCGAGAGTTTACCCTCATGTTCGTCATTTTCCCTTTGATCGCATTACAGCACTTAAGACACTTTGCTTACACCTGGCATGAAATACATCAGTGAGACTACCACTTGGCGTAAGGTAGATATTATGAACGGGCCATTCTTACTGCCGGATTCTACTTTTCGCCTGGGCTTCCGATGTTTTTGCAGGTGACGATTTTAAGGAGGATTCCGGTGGTGTACAGCATTTAGAGACATTCCTGACACAAAAGTCTGTGGAAGCATCCATGTTTTCAGTTTTCTTGGAAATTGACGCATAAGCAGGGAGTAGATCTTTCTCAGCAAAGCTCTTTGGGCTGGCTTCGGATGGTTATATAACCATTTGAGCCGAAATTCATCAGATACCGTGGAACAACCGCGTAATATCCATTAAATGCAACGGGCAGTTAGGAGTTTACAAGTGCTGAGTTGCTTCCCGCGCTGCGAGCAAAAAATATAGTAAATCATTGAGTATTTGTACATAAAGCGAATGACCGATCTCATGAAATCTTGGCTGAGATTCTGAAATGGGTTTTCGATTGGGAAGGATTAATTAGGCGTGGTCGTAATACTGATTATCTTGCGACATAATCATGTAATATTTCGGACTCGGCAGGATGTCAGCTTTTGAGTACACCGCCTTTTTAATCTCCTGTAGAAACTGAATTCGGTAAAAAGTGACTATTTAAACAGCGTGCTTTTTTTCACATAGATCTTCGATGGTCTTGCAAATTTAAAAATATTTTACAGAAACCGCGAACAAAAATATGCTTTCTTTCAGTCGTTTGATAGACAATCACGCCATCTTAATATTTTATACTCGAAGAAGGAGTATAATTAGGTTTGAAAAAAGTTTTCTAATTCCCGAGTAATTTGGAGCCTGATCAGTCGGTGCATGAGCGCTTCGTGGTTTCAGTCAACAAGCTGCATGTGCTCCCCATAAAGAAAATCACATGTTATTCTATGTCTTTAAAAAGAAATTATATGGAGTCCATAAAATTTTACAATTGATGATTACCATGTTGTACATTTCATGGGGAGCAGTGAACGAACAGGTAAGATGCTGTATGAATGGACATTAAATGCTCTTAAAAAATCTCATAATAAGAAGCTTTTTTAAGACCTAATTATACTCCTTCTTCGAGTATAAAATACAAAGATGGCGTGATTATCTATCAAACGACTGACAGAAAGCATATTTCGTTCGCGGTTTCTGTAAAATATATTTGAATTTGCAAGACCATCGAAAATCTGTGTGAAAAACCTAAATGGCCAGCAATTCGACAGCCTGCCCGTCGAACGCTGTACGAATCACCGCCACTCCGGAATAAGAGAAATGGGTTGTACAGGGGTGGGATTGCACGGCATTGAAATAGGGCGCTCGACACGCTTGCAGCTGATCAGACATTCGCTCCGCTGTGTCCAGCACCACTGACGTGGCAGTTACTCAGTGCATGCTAATTAGATGGTCATTTTTTACCGAATTCAGTTTCAATAGAAGAGTAAAAAGACAGTGTATTCAAAAGTTGACATCCTGCCGACTCCGAAATGCTATAGGATTATGCCGCAAGATAATCAGTATTACAACTGCGCCTTTCTAATCGGCCAACAGTTAATGCGATCGGTCACTCCCTGTGGTACAACACAATTTCCGTGACTTGCTCCTCGCTCTGTCCTTAGCAGTTTAGCGTTTTTTATTGAAAATATGCAGGTTTATTTTTTCCTGCCCGCTCGTCCTCCCAGTCGGTCAAGTCCACACACGCTTCCCCTGCTATCTACCCCCAGAGATTCGGCATCTGAACGTCTGCCCCGTGTTTACGTGGGGTCAAGTGACTAATACACAAGTCCCCGCTGGATGACATTTGCGTGGAAATGTGCCGTCTTCTAAAGGGGTTTCCTAGTTTTTTGTTTTAGTCTCACGAGTTTTAATAGCCGTTGCAGGCCAAAATGATCGTGCAAGACTTGATCAAAGCTACACCAAACACACTATTTCTTCTAAACTCGGCCCTTGTTTACATGCGTCTTTCTTTGCCAACCTGCAAAAGCGACCGCCGAAACAAGAATATTTATTTGCCTGAACTTTTAGATTCTCACTCGAACCCATTAAGTTGATCTGTCGTTGTCTCTGGTAAATAAGTTTCCTGTTTCAGTGACCGCATCCCCCTTTTTTGCCAACAACGCTTGGTTTGAAATAAGAGCACCGACTCTGGTAGTACAGACTGTCCATGCGTCCTAATATAATATCCGTCACCTGAAGTTTTCATTCCAGAGCACATGCCTATTGCAGTACTCTCTGCAGTGGTTTCTGTCGGAAAAGTAAGGTCTTCTTATCCGGAAACCTAATTTAGATGGTCTGGGCCAGTTCGAAAACACATTCAACGACGTCTTCTGGTATCCGCAGCCACCTTAGCAGTCTTAGGTGTTGACGTGACGTCTGCCTTAAGGATGAAAATCCGTCCGCGTAGTTCTTTCATCTGGAGCCAACTGCTCACCGGATCGGTATGCAGTCATATAGCTCCATAAACAGGCGGTCTTCCGATCTCCTGCACCTCAGGGCAAAGTTGAACAAGTCCACTGGCATCGCCCGCGCGAGAAGAAAAGAGTGGGCTTCTGTATATTTGCTGTTAGTTAGGGTCACCAAAGAAGACTCTCGAAAATGCCCTGTTTCGCTGGGCCCTACACGCGGTAAATGTGGAAACACAGTACCAGCCAGTTACACATGACCGAAGTAAACACGCTAGTCGGATCACTAATCAACCTTAGATCTACCTGAAATTCCGGCCGATGACATCAAAATATGTTTCCCAAACCCCTTTCTGTGAACATCTAGTTTAAAGCAGTAGCAACGTTCTCACGCCGTTACCTTTTGCAACTTAACCTTCCCTTCCTTTGAATGGCTCCATCTTTAAGAACCGCCATTCCTGTATTGTGGTTGGCCTTGCTCCATAGTTCGGTTGGGGGGGGGGAGCGGGGGTTGTATAAGCGTTTTCAACCCTCGTATGATCTCATTTAACCCAATGCATATTTTTTGTGTCGCCTCGGAAGCTGTAGTGAACCTTATTCAAACGGAAGCTGACAGTTCTCCACCGAATTATCCTTCGTCGACGCCTCCGGCACATGAACGGTCGTAGCCACAGTCGGAACTGCAGCGACAATATAATTATTATTATTATTATCAGTGGCAGAAGTAGTAGTTGCTGTAGCGCCGGTGGTGGTGGTGGTGGTGGTGGTGGTGGTGGTGGTGGTGGTGGTGGTGGTGGTGGTGGTGGTGGTGGTGGTCGATGTCGTAAAGATGTGTGCAGGGATGACGATTGGAGTGTTTTCGAAAGCAGCAACTGAAGTTGTCGTGTTTTTGCTCTATTTGGTCCGGAAATATCCGAGGAGGCGGATCCGTGCGCCGGTAGGTTCGTCCACGGCGTGAGCAGGCTGTGGGGGTGGGGGGGGTGGGGGGTTATTTGTATGGTGGAGGCGCTTGAGACCTGAGATTAAATCTTATGGCCTTGGTAGCGCCGATTCTGTTGGTTTCATAGACTGCTCCTTCAGCACCCGCAATTCGACAGCTTGCCCGTTGAACGCAGTACGAATCACCGTCATTCCGGAATGAGAGAAATGGGTTGTACGGGGGTGGGATTGCACGGCGTCGAAATAGGGCGCTCAACACGCTTATAGTTGATCAGACACTCGCTCCCCTGTCTCCAGTATCACTGACGTGGCAGTTACTCAACCGACCAGAAGCAAACCTTGTCAACTTCAATATCAACTGAATCAGACGTGCCATGACGGTTTGCCAAGAAGCGGCCCTTATCAGTGGACTCCCCCCCTCCCCTCCCGGGTGGACTGCACTATCCAAGTAACCCGTCATTGTGAGCACAGCAGTGGAGACCTGCTCAGCGTCAACATAACTCACGCTCTTTTCACGTCCATCATGGTAAAGTGGAAAAATAGGGTCAGGATGGTTGGAGTCGGATTCAGATGTGGTAACTGGCTATGCCACACGCGCGCTTCGCAGGCTCAGTCAGCATAAACCAAACTTCACTTCACTGGTGAGAGAACTGCCATAAATCCACGATAGGAGGCCAGTGGCAGCAGCATTAATTAGAAGTGCCACAGTGAAACCGCTGGGTTTATTTTTTTGTTCTTGACCAAGGTCGCGCCTGAACCCACACCAACACATATACACGACTAGCCTGGAGCAGTAGGCAGCAGGCGAGTTCACAGGGGAGGGTGCGTGACCTGTGGAAACCTGCACAGGCGCGCACCTGCGTATTCGCACCCACATACACACACACATACGCCGAGAACTGACGTGAGCTTTCGCGTCCTAACTCGTTGCTGCCCGCCCGCTGCCGCTGCTTTTGTGTTTCAATCCCCCTCTCCGCCCCGCCGCCGCCGCCGTTGTTGCTGACGTTGTAGAGCACTGCATGTATGGTCATGTAAGAGAGGCTAACGTCCGCTAAAAGCTGCTGCTGTTGCCGTTGCTCTTGCAAAACCCATGTTTCTCGAAGCCGCCTGCCCACTTTCCGCTTCGGAGGCCACAGCAAATGCACGCAGTTTTGGACCAACTTCCTCACCGCTACGACACATCACCATAGGAGTAACCTACTGGGTGGACAACAGTTACAGGCGATGATTCCTTTAGGTATCCTCCTGCGTAGAAGAGGCGGGAGTATCCTCCCGAAAGGGAGGCATTTAATATACCCCATCCAGTGACGCCTGTTGTCCGATAACAGTTTCATCGGCACAACCTAGTTCTGGTCAACCATTTAATGCAAAGAGGGACGCATACTTTCCCAGCACAGTCATCCTTCTATGTGTCCTTTTCATCGCTTTTGCAAGTGATTCTTTCGGAGTTCACCTATACTCCTAATTAAACTGGGCGGTCCGACTAAGTGGCGTCACCCTCGGTGCGTGGGTTGCGTCAAACCAATCTGTGCAAAGGTTCTCCCAGGGCGGACTTATCTTTGTCCAGAAGGGAATTATCACGAATGGCAAGGTAGTAAAAACGCAAATGACCAAAGCGTTTACTCTGCCCGTGAGCTGCGTTTCTGCAAGCCGACTCACTGATTGACACAGTCGTTGAAATTATACTGAAGCCATTTGCACGTTTGCAAAAAATACTACTATGGTAATGGGCGCCCACCGATCGTTCTTACGGATCTCACTCGTTCCGTTTTGTCCTACGGGCTCTCTCTCGAGCCCAACCAGCAGCCGCACAGCCGCGCATGATATAGGCAGAATGGTATTACCGACAAAGACAAGGGAGACTGGGATGGCCATTTCTGGCTTATTAGCCGTCGTCAGCCAGCCAAACCCAAGCCCGAATTTACACCCGAGCCTCGAACTCGCGACCTGTTGGTTTAGAAGTCCACGCCGATCGAAAATCAACAGGGCAACGGGCTCGTCTCCCAGTGGTTATAGGCGTGGACTTCTCACTAACAGGTCGCGATATGGAAAAAGCATAGACGGGAGCCTAGCCCATCTTTATTGCCAGCAGAGGGGCTGCGGCGACGGACTGAGAATCTGTCACCTACGGTCTCTCTGTCATCCGTCAACCATGCCTTTAATTGCCCATTCAGAGTCTGGAGTTTATCGATTCTGTCACTGCTGGAGTTAGCCATCCTTGGCATCTCTTTATCTCGCTCCACGCAGTGGGGCATGATAAAGGAAACAGTACTTCTTGTCCTATCAACTAGGACCGTTTTTCCCCTCAGCAGGGACTTCCGTCCGTTTGGTGAAATCATTATTATTATTACTCTTTCGACCCGTCAGTAGGCCAACACATGTCGGCGAGTTCGGCGGGTCGACTGATGTAACTTACCGTTTCATCTTTCTTCGCCCTTTTAGAGTTCAAAAGCGTGATGAATGCGAGGGGCTAATGGTTCCCCGAGGCGACGTGCCGTGGCTTTCCAAGCGCTTCCTCCCACACTCCGCCCAAGTACTTTTTTACTCATTGTGCTATTTTTTACTATGACAATGACAGCCTCCTTCCCTATCTTCCCACTCCCCCCCCGGCGCCTTGGACAGGCCCGATCAGGCTGCTTTATGCTGATCGTGCGGCCTCTTGAGCCCGCTCTTTCTTCCCTCTCTTTCTTTCTCTTCACTTCCGACTTTCCTGCGTGGTCTGTGATGCTATTTACACTGTGCAGCCGGGGGCAACTCGAATTCGGGTATGGGCGACAATTCAACTGCATGCAAACACACTCACACACACACCTCCGTGCAGACAACAGAGGTTCCCCTGACTTGATTTCTCCTTTTTTGAATTATGCTTTTTTTACTACTCCACTTGCATCTGCGATATTATTTGTTAAATTCCAAACAAAAGCATATCCTACCAAAAAGGGCTTTTCTGTTATTCCTGAACAGCAAAACCAGGGGGTTAAGCTTTCACGCCCCTGTCGGCAGACTTGTCAGTGACAGTTCGACCGTCGTTCCCGACGATGTCAACCGTGTGTCCCACAGCAAATTGGAGCAGGGACAGTGATTTGTGCGTGACAGTAGACTTTCGCAGCATCTGTCCTCCTCCCCCACCCGGGCCCGATGTCGAGACATAGCCAAGAAGTTCGGAGGCGAAGGAGGACGCGGGTGGATGGCACGGTCGAGCGCACACCATGGCGCTCTAATCCACACCCCCTGGTCCACACAACAAATAACCAGGTTTTCGGCCAACAACAAAGAAAGGAGGCTGGGACGGCCGGCGCCGCACTTAGGCGTACCGCCACACCCGGATCGGATCACACACAGTGGGAGTGCCATAAAAGCCACATTAAAAAGGAGCCATTGCAGCCTGACCCTTAGATCACTAGCCGGCCACCCCTCACAAACCCACACAATACTGGCCAACTGCGAGGTCCCAGTTATACCCTCAGTAGGCAACCTTTCAAGCCACGGCTTTTAGCGCACCGTGATAACTCCAAGTGTGTCAGATTGTTTCTAGTGAGGAGATGCCAAAATACCTATGAATTACGTTAGCCTGGTAGTCATCTGGTGGAGTCTAGGTGAATTACTAAGGAAATCTTGCTTGGGCAGTCAACTTACTGTATCAGATTTGGTGGATTCCAGAACTTGCAGTAGGTTGGGCGGTTAACTTGACCCAAGTGTGGTAAAACTCGAGTCGTCCGGCGGGGCCTCGTAGCTGAGGTGGTTAGAGCGTTGGCTGTACTGAAGCCTTCCCCTTACTGCGTGGGTTCGAATCCCACCGTGGCGCCGAGTTTTTCACAGTTGGGTCAATATGAATTATTCAAAATCTGCCAAAATATCTAGTGAGGGACATGCGCTGACTTGTCGACCTCGCTCTCCCTCCCCATTCCCGTGCCTAAGCCACTGTCCGAGCTGGTCAGTTGACTGGAGCGCAGAATGGGCGCGATGGCTGACATAGTCTGGTGACCTTGTCTGCGTGCACCACATGCACGACCTGGCCCCAAAAACACAAGCACCAGGATTTCAAACAACGAGGGGTTAGGCGGCGTAACTCTCACATGCATGAAAGTGTCCTGGGAGGAGCTGTTTCAGCCCCGTTCTCAGCCCACCAGTCCGCCGCTCCACACAAAAACACACAACTAGACTGACTGCGTGGACATAGTTGGTGCGTCAGTCAGCAGCCTTCCTGTCCCCCGGCAATTGACTCGTCACGATAGTCTCAGGCTGGAGTCACTCATGCGACAGGAGCCAAACGGGAACCGAGTCGAGATGCACATATCCCACTTGCGCGGGAGGATTGAGTTCGGTGCATGTTGTGGGTGATGCTGATGTGCG